TATGTTTTCACCCGTGTATGTATTTGTCAGCAAGATTTATTGAAAATGGCTGAATGGATTTGGACAAAAGTTGGTACACATTGGGATTATGACCCAACTTAGAAGTGTTTAGTTTTTGAAGGCTCAAGGTTATGAAAACCAAAAAAATGTCTCTGTTAATATGGAGACTGATTTTTCACACTATTTTTGCTCCATAACTCAGTGAAAAATGATCAGATTTTGATGAAACTTGGTGGACATACGTAGAATATTATTCCTCTTTGTTCTTCCAAAAATGGTTTATGTCTGTTGATAATGGTGGACATATGTACACATTTTCATATTTTTTGAGAGCTGAATATGAGCAATGCTGCATGGTGGAGGTATGTGCTCTACTGAGTACCCCTTTAGTTCAGTATTATACAGCTTACCAACTGATTAACGATGACATAAACATGTTAAAGATTTACTTTTCCGCCAAATGAAATTGAAATGATGTAGAAGCCTAATGTATTCTCTGATTGGCCATATCCTCTGCTGTGGACTGCTGAGGCTAATCAACACAACTTGGGACAGCAAACTAAAGAAATACATTTAAACCTTTTATAATGGTGAAGTTTATATAATGACTATGGAGTTATTGTGTAAATTGACAAACAATGATATACAAGCACAATGAAGTAGTTTTATTTTGGTAGAGCATACTACATGTTTCGACAGAAGATTGGTGTGTGTTCTGAAGAAATGAAATCACTTCAGTGTGCTTATAAATCATTTAAAAATTTACTTTTATCTTAACAGTGTGCAACAACATGGAAATCATAACTGAACGACGATGTAAAACTAACTATATTTATTATGTGCTCTCTACATAATCTAACTAAGAATTTCAATAACTTCAACAGTCAATTATCAACGCACAAAAAAATTTCATTTTTGTAATAATTAACATCTGATATCAAATTGTAAAAAATATCTTTTTATTATTAAATCAAAATTTTGATATCTACTTAAAACACTGTCAAGTAAGGGAGCTATTTACTTTGCACTTTGAAGAAATTCTTTATTTCTGGTTAGGCAGTAAAATCCCCTGAGAAAAATAAACTTATAGTATTAGGTTACTTTATAGTTTAATATATAGGTGTTCTATCAAAATTATTGACTCTAGATTCATGTGTATATATAAAAACCGTTTGCTAAAAAGAGGCACAATCCACCATATATTTTCCCGGTGATAATGATTGTGTTATTGTCCAACCAAAATGTCATTTTCATACTTTAAGGACATCTGTCGGTGTTTATTATTATTATTACTCACAGGAGACTGAATTCTGTGAAAAGTTTTTCAAGTCAACCATTATACAACAAAAATATGTTTAATTAAATCCACAGTTCATTAATCAAAACTGTAATTATTGTCAGTAAAAGGCTACAAAATGATAATTTTGCTTATAACTGTTTCAGAAATATGGGTGGCAAAATTTTCTTGAGATAATTTTTTGATGTTACTAAAATCGTTTTACTTGAGAAAAATAATTGAACTTGTAAAAATGAATGTATATTTAACCAAATTAAAGCACTACACTAGGAATCTAAATGAACAATTAAGCCAAGACTCGGATTATAAGATTTTTTCAAGAAAACATTTCTGTCATTAAACAGTAAAATTTGTTCAGCTCTTTTTTGATGTTAATTTTATATGTTATTAAAATAATTATTTTACTTAACATAGAATATAATTTTATAGTCTCAATATTTAACCTGATCACTTGTGTTGTTTGTCATAGTTATTATTTACTTGAATAAATTCATATTTATTCCTTCTGATCATGAAATTAGCAAATCGTGTTTTAAGAGAGAAAAAATTTAATTTTTTCTTTGATACAGTACCTTAGCTGCACATTCTTGTCAAAAATTATTATAATTAAAAACTAAATAATTAAAGTACAGTTTTAGCAATTTCTGATTAGGCTAAGAACTTGTCAAAATGATTATTGTAACATGGATTTTCAATTTTTTTAGTAATATTCTCATTGAAACAAAAAATAAATGGCTTTCAAATCAGAATCTGAGATTAATCACATTCTGTAAGAACTACCAATGGTACCAACACTAGACCCAACATCTACTGTGTTGGTTGCAAAGGGATGGTGTGCATGTGCCTCATTTGCCCTGTAGGTGTTACTGAATATTGGTATAAAATGTTACAGAGGTTCAATCCTACTAGTAAACTTCTTTGTATTAGTACAACTTATTATTGAACTTAATTCCAGGTGTCCTGGAGAGTTAGGCTATACCAAAAAAGTCCTGGAAAAAAAAATGAATATTAGTAAGGTAAAGGGCCTTAGAATCTTTTTGGTGCATATATTAAAAAAAAATATTATATTAAAAAATGTTATATATATATATATATATACTAGAATATATATATATATTAAAAAAACTTAAAGTTCTTGGCAATTAGGGTATGGGCAATAGGTACTGTAAACTTTTTATTATGAGTAGGTGTATGCTGGTTTACATTATCAATCATCCTCATTTTGATGGTCATTATTTCACAGTATTGCTAAAAAACTGAAATTTTTCATTATAATAAGCTTGTGCAAAGAAATTGTGTAACACATATTATGATGACCCTTTCACAGCCCCCTCCTCCATCATGATATTAATGAAATTTTGTATTATCTATTTTCTAAAACCACAGTTAAGACATACAATTCTACTGCAGCTGTTTCTTGTGGTTTGCTGGTACATGGTTGAAAATAGGATCATTGTGATGCTTGTTTTTTTCAGCCATCTTTCTTGTGAGAACAGCCTTTGACTGTGGACTGTGCTATAAGTTTCCATGTGTAAGTCAACTTGTGGACTGTTACTACAACATTCCAGGTGTAAGTCAACCTGTGGACTGTACTATAACTTTCTTTATAGTACAGACCACAAGTTGACTTACACCTAGTGTGTTATAGTGCAGTCCACAAGTTGACTTACACATGGAGAGTTATAGTACAGTCCACAGGTTGACTTACACCTAGAGTGTTATAGTGCAGTCCACAAGTTGACTTACACATGGAAAGTTATAGTACAGTCCACAAGTTGACTTACACCTAGAAAGTTATAGTGCAGTCCACAGGTTGACTTACACCTATGTGTAAGTCAACCTGTGGACTGTACTATAACTTTCCAGGTGTAAGTCAACTTGTGGACTGTACTATAACTTTCCATGTGTAAGTCAACCTGTGGATTGGATGAGACATTGGATTCCTGTTGGTATAATGTTATTTTTTCAGCACTGCTGTAGGAAACCTATTTGTTTTTCTGTTCTGAC